TTTTTATACTTAAGAGATTGCTATAAATAAGCTAAAAAGTATATAAAATATACTTATTAAATCTTGTAAATTTGATTAATAACATAGCAATAATTAAAGCTAATAGCTTATTTAGACCAAATGGCTAATACTGCTAGCGATCTTAATAGTAAAGAGTGTTCACATTGTGGAAGAGACAAGATTCGTATTGAATTCATTTCATCCTATGGAGATCGTGGAGGAAAAGAAAGTGAATATTCTAATTGCAATGATTGTGCAGAAAAAAAGAGAAAATCTTCAAATTCTGAAGTTAATAAAGATAATTAGTATCTTCATGAAGAGGAAATAATTTATAATAATGAAGATAATGAAAATAATGTTTTGTATGAGTTGGCTGAGTTAGAAGAGTTGGTTGCTGACTATTTTACAAATATTAAAGAAGATCAAATAAAGTTTTTAAAAAACTTTGAACTTGAAGATGAATATTAAATAATAGTCAAGAAAATATTCATAAAATAGTTCATTTATTTTTGTTACCTATTGAGGCTGGATCCCATTATTATTGGGAAATTAGAAAAATTTATATTCATACCAATAATGCTGAACAAGTATCAGTATATCTTGGATGTACTCAAAGAGAAGATAGAGAATATAAACATTCACTTGATCAACCAATAAAAAGAATAAATAAAATTCGACCTTCTATTAAATGGTTTGCATATAAAGAAAAATTACAATTAATATTAATTTTGAAAAACGTCAAGTAAAGGTTGAAATATAGCATTTAATTCCTCATGAGCAACCAACATATCACGAAATAAATTACCTGAAGCTGCTATAGCATGGATATCTAAGAATTTAAATTTGAATCTTAGAAAAATTGAAATTTATAAAAGGCTTAGCGAAGAACATCTCATTAATCCAGAAGTACATACCTACAAGCAGGTATATTATTGGGCTTCAAAGGTTTCTGGTTAACAATATATTACTATAGCATCTAATCAACTCCTTTCATCCTTAAATTTTTTAACACAAAATGAATTAGTAAATAAAGGATTCAAAGTATTGTTATATATAGAAAATGATTTTGTTTAGGCACTTGGATTTCTGACTTCTTTTAATAAATATAGTAAGCAATACCCAGAGTTAAGTTGATAAAAGATAGTAGTTATGATCAAAAAGTTTAAATAGACAACACTTATAGTTAGAATGTAGGTATAGCAGATAGTAAAAATCTTTAAATAGATTAAACACCAAAAGTACATATTATAAAGAGTTAAATCAATTCAGATATTCAAAATATAGACCCTACAAATATTAACTAAGATCAAACTAATTTAAATTAATACTGCAAACTACTAAACTCTATCTAGACTCTAATAGTAAAAGGTATAAAAGAGAGTGCAAAAAGACTTGATTTAAGTTATTGAGGCCAAATAAAGCTCTAGATTATATCATAAGGCTTTAATATGTATTACAGAATTAAACTACTAATTCTATATAAATTTAACTTATCAGTAAAGATAATTAAAGTAAAATGCTTAAAGTTGAATAATAAACTTTTTATAAGTTAAACTCTATTAAGTTATCTCTTCAACTGTTTTCCAGGCAAATTTGTCTAGAATTTTGAAAAGTATTTACAATTTATTAAATAAAATTAAAAAATATTAATAATATAGGGTATACTTTATATATATAATAATATATTTAAAACATATTTTATATACTTTATTATGAAAATTTTTTAAATTTATTATAAATCTCTAGAGTAATAAAAATTTAAAGCTCTTGCTTTGAAAATTTTTACTATAAAAATTTTCTTTAAAATTTCTAAATTTTTA